ACCTGCACACATTCTGCTCGGAGAACGCAGACTCAAGACTGCCGCGAGAATCCGAAGACTGGATGATTATCATCCGCTTCGACTTCGGGCCACGGAATGCACTGACAGCGCTCGTCACCGACTAGGACTGAAGACATGCAACAAAAGCAGACTTGTTCTGGATAGAGTTCATGATTCGAGGTTCCAGAGGATGTACCGACTTCTGCCAGAGACTGAACTTCCGCCACCGCTCCGACCTCCGGTACCCCCTCAGCTAATTCCCCGTTGGACATGTAAGAGAGTGGCTGCCTACACCCCCACCCGACTGTCTCTGCGTTTACAGTGATGGTTCTGGGGCCTCAACCGACAGATTGTCATGGGCCTTTGTGACTTTTATCAGCGGCACAGGCACGGCAATCGAGCAAAGCGGCTCAGGTAAAATTACCAACGCGGAGGTTCATGGAGCTTTGGCTGCTCTAGAGGCAATCACTGTCAGCAATCGAGATCGAGGACGCAGCGTTATCTACATACTGCTCGAAAATTCCGCGGCTGTTAAGGCTTTACTGACGGGAAGAACGGACTCATCATCCTGGCGTATCCAAAAGTTCGTGAAACTGGCCGCGGGATCTTCCGCTCCTGTAAAAATAGGATGGATTCAGGGCCACGAAGGGCTGGCAGGAAATGAAATCGCCGATGAACTCGCTCGAAGAGAGCTTAACTCGCCGGGCAACTCTAGGACGACACATGGTGTGATGACCCTCGCCTCATCTGGACGCAAAGCCCGTGAACTGGCCAGGCAGATGTTGACAGACTGGTGGCACTCGAATCGCCCCAAACACTACGCCGACCTTGAACTCGAGATGCGGCGCAAGAAACCGCCAGAACTAGCGCTACTTAGAGTGGTCTACGCCTGCTTAATCGCTGCTCGAACTGGACATGGGGACTTTACGGCATATTATCGCCGCTTAACCACACTGACGCCAAACTTTACTGCGAGTGCGGGAGGGAAAAATCAATTGGTCACCTTGTACAGTGTCGAAAAGCACTGGCAACATAGCGGCTGAAAAGCGGAAGCGTAGGGCGCCGGCTCTGGAAACAATGCTCGGATCAAGGGGATGGCAGCTGTTCAGGGACTACGTTCAGGAGAGCAGAATATACGCGGAGGCTAGTCGGGGGATGGCAGGGATACCTGTGACTCGGAGGTGATAGATCAAAGACCTTAGTGGTTTGGCATGGAAAGAAGTATTGGAATCGATGCCCAGGCGCGTGGTGGCTGAGGCTGAACGATGGAAGGGAGATTGTTTAAGTTTTTCTTTTGTAATGCGGGATATCGCGTGATAATTTTTCGTTTGTTTTCAATTCTGGGCTGCTGAATTCGTCATGGTTCAACACATAGATGCGTTTTGGCATGGTTCCGGTCATTTAGGTGGGACGAGGCATTTGTACTGCACGGTAGTTAACCTGATCCGGCCCAACTCCACTCGTGCTTAAGCTCCAATAGGAGTGCAACGGTAGTCATGTAACCTAGCACGTTAATGAACAAAACAAAAAAACTACCTCGACATCTTACTGCCCATATATACGCTGCTCGCTCTGGAAATGGAGATTTCGCAGCCTATCATAATCGCTTCAACCACGACCCCGCCCATAATACCTGCAGATGCAGCGAACTCAAGTCCCCTGCACATTTCCTAAACTGTAGACTGATCACATCAAGCCCCCTCAAACCACACAGGGGCTGTTCAGGCAAATGGAAGTTCTTTCTTGGGATCCCCACAGGAGCATCAAAACTTGTAAAATGGCTTGAAAAATCACAGTTCTTCACCAAAATTTGCCTCCGGATTCCTCCTGAGACATCAATAAACGAGGCTTAGCAGCAGTTTAAAGAAAAATAAAAGAAAAGAATGCCCATGGGCTAAATTTTCTTTTCTTTACTTTCCTCTAATTAAATTTAGCATGTCGGGAAGATATTCTTCGTACTATGACTGGCTCTCATCCCCTCTAGGAGACATAAATTTCCGTAGAAAGCTTGACGTATCAAGTCATCTGACCCTGTATTTCATCTTCGGCCCCTTCTTCTTTGTTCGGGGAAGCTGGGTGTCCCCGGTTCTAGAGCAGTAAGCTCTGGCTTCCTTTTCAAATTCGGGACTAGTGTATTATAATCATTAGTTAGACGTTAAATACTAAACAAACAACAAACAAACGGTATGCTGAGGCTGGGATACAGATCACTCAGTAGCGAAGGAATACGTGTCAGGAATCTAGATCACTGGTAGCTGTAGAGGGCATATTGTTGGAAATATCGCGCAATGAAATGGGCGCAATACTAATGGAATGAAAGTAGAAGTTGACTAAAAGAGTGTCATGTTCAGATTAAAGCTAAAAGTGTGGGAGATGTGCGCTACAAGTACAAGTGTATTGCAAATGAAATCCAGAGTATGAGTGTCTCTAATGTCAAAAGAGTCATCCAATATGTATACATAGCACCGGTCATGTGTCATAGCTAGATAGCTGAATACACATTAAATGATTCAAAAAAAAAAAAAAAAAGTACAAGTGTAAGCAACACAGAGCCTAAGCCACACCATAAACGAGTATGGCGCCATCTAGGCATAGAAAACCCCCAATAACCTCCTTGCGCCCACGCCATACAGCCGCTCATATGTCCAATAGGTAGCCTGAAGCGCTACCATATTACCTATTACAACCTCTTAAATACACACAAGATCGTGTTGGGAACCTAGACGAAATGGAGGGCCCGTACGTCCACAACACTCCGTGTCTCCATTTCCAACACATATTTCATGTAACGGATTTCCTGAGGTTAATCTCTTCAGAAAAATATTTATTCTTTGTGGTACTGTTTACGTGGGGTGTCCGTAATTCTATTCGCCCTTAACAACAAGGACCATGACAGATTCTAGTGTGCTAGATAGTTTATGACTCAAGTAGTATAATATACATATCACCCTGTTTTCAATAGGACGCCAAATTTGAGTGGTGCTCTCGAGGATGAGGGTTTGACAGTGTTCCACGGGGTGCGTTATATAGCCTAGTGAAGATCTAGGTGGTGAATGAAGATAATAAATGGGTCAAAGGGATGAGAGGTCTTCTCTAGGAAGAGATGAATGGGCAACTAGTTACAGTAGATGTTACACGTGGGTCTTGCTGTTGAAGAACTGGGCAATGGATATATGGTCTTCCCGAAGAAGAGATGGGTGAACAAATGTATTGTAAAGGGTAAGTAAAGAAGACGTTGCGTGAGGAGTAAATCTCTCTCATGCTGAACTATTACATACAAGAATAGAAGCATTTGCCAGCCGGAATTAATCGTAATCAATTCTTGCCAATATCTTCGCATTAATGGCTGTGTTCTTGTCCTTCTCTTCATGACTCTCTTGTATATCCTTACATGACTTTTTACATGACTAATTGTATAAGGAAACTTATTACAAAATTGAGGGTTTTAATTAACTACCCCTTCATCTTATCACGAATTAACATTAGCATTAAAATTCTAATCACGGATCCGTGAAAGGTGCAGAAATAGGGATGTGAAGAATGATATTGTGGTCCCGAAAGCTTTCACCATCTTTTTTCTTTGACTTTATTGCTGGTCTTAAAGGTCACCATGGATCGCCAGAGACCATCACGCGTGTCATTTCTTAAATTTGCGCGGTAAAACTTGCCCAGTTAAATAAATCAAATTATTAAGGAAATAATGACCCCTCAGTCATTAAGGTTGCAGAGCGCATAGATACAAATAACTACCGAAGTGAAATAAGTTCATAATTTTTAGTCACGTGTGTACCAACAACGTGGCCCTCTTGATAGCCCCAATTATTCTATATTCTAACACAAATTACAATTCAGCAAGGGATCCCTATAGAGATATACCTGAAACAAAGGAGGGTCCAGCATGCCGAACTATCAGATAAACTCCCAGTTTAAGAGACAATCCGATCGACATGTAAGAGGATAGAGCTGCCCGCAAACGGGAGAGAAACTCCGCATGCATTGACCAAGAGTAAAGACATAGCCGAATGGACAAGAACTTGCGGAAGAAAAAAGGACAAGGGGAGGCTGAAAGAAGCTGGAAAGATAGCGGCTTTTCAGGAGTGGAAAGATTCATGGACAAGCCAGATCATGAAACAGTGCCCTGGCCGACCAGCATCAGCCGATCCAGAAAATTGAAAAGCGGCAAATATATTTACTGATAAACAAACAGGCAGCACCAAAATGAACTTCAAAGATAAATCCTTAAAAACCCACCGTAACCTGACCAGGGCCCAAAGCAGTGTCGCCATTCAGCTAAGGAGCGAGCATATCGGACTCAATTTTTACCTGAGCAGAAGAAAAGTACCCGGACTAGAAGAGCCAAGCTGTCAATATGGATATCCGTCGCAAAACGTCAAGCATATGGTGTCGGCGTGTCCGCAGTGGGCAAATGGAAGAGGCGACTTTCTCCGACAAGCCAAAGACAGGTCATTTGAAGCAATGATGAACAGCCCAGAAGACATGGCTAGAATTACACGGTGGATACTAAACAAATGGTGGATAAAACAGCTTCGACTTGCAGGAGAAGTCGAGGTAGCAATGTCGGATAAAGTACATAGATCTGGAAGGGGAGAGGACGGAATCCACACGGGCTGAACAGTGTACACTGCACTTCCTGAAGGTAAACCAAATAAATTGATAGGAACATAAAAAGACAGGATCAGGGGGTTTTCACCAAATTGGTTTCCTCCTTTGTAAATAATGCAGATAGTCACCTGCATGGACCCATAGGGTGCCTGATCGGGTTAATTGAATTCGAATTCAAACTTCAAATTCAGCAAGGGAGGCGTTGACTGTAACCTTAGAGCTCAATAATTACTGTTATCTGAAAAATAAAGAAATTTAATTACCCCAACTGATGATTGAGTAGACCACGGCTAAATCGAAACTGTAATTTAGATATGTAATTGGAATTTAATTATTGAAAGTTTTATTATGCTGATTTCCCGCAGAACAAGGTTTTCTTACTTAGCCATACATTTCAGGCGCTCATCTTTTCCCCGTTTACGACAGTACCAAACAACAAATAGGAAGACAATAACTGTTAAACATATTGATACTTTTTTGATCAAAAATGCTGGCAAAAAAAACCTCATTCCGGTAGAGACTGATTTCAAAATTTTTGCTAGGGTATCTATAATTTTTAATTTTATGCCATCTTTAGAATTTAATTTTGGTACAGTTGAGGCTACTTTTATTAGCTCCGCAGGAAGAAATTTTTGAATTTGTTTCGACAATTCTTTGGCCAAAGCTTTAATGAAATTGGGTAAATCTTCAAAGAATTTGTCGAGCGTATTCTTTGATGTCTGGAGAAAACTTTTGACGTCCCCATAGACTATGGGTATACCAGTTATAAGATCCTCGAGTGCAGTAGCTAGACTATGGTTTAGCTCAGTCGATACACTCGAGATGAAATATATCTTGTTTTTAATTACTGAGGAATTAAGATACTCCAAAGCTTGTGTGACGCCATGATCCACCGGGGGAATCTCATTTTTCACCCTGCAAGTAGTAAATCCTTTTTTATCAAAGGCAATTACAGACCCCTAAATTTTATTGACAGTTAGTATCGACTGATATAGATCTATAGAACGTGTCTGTGCTAGGCCGGTAGTCAACAAACCTTTACTCTTTTCGTGCAGCCTATCTCAAAGGTGGGTACTATATCTGGTTCACCAACCATTGGATATTCATTCGCAGGTTTATTGTCACTTCGATCTATGTTAACCAGAGCGTTGACTGTCGAATTGGCAAACATTGAATTATTCATTTTTAGGTCTGTCAATGGCTCATAAATGATTTTTCTCTCCGTAATGACGTTCTTCTGAAGAGAATCTTTATCTGTAGCACCAACGAGCGTCTCTATAGTATGAGTAGCCATGTATGTAGACTGATGATTCCCAACCTTCTCTTCAAGAAAGAACTGATGCACGCATCGAATACAAAAATATCAGAGCTTCAATAATGCGGATGTTAGTTTGTGATGCATGGTTTTAAATACAGCTGGGAGACACCAAGATATTATACCATATCAAGGGTACTGTGTGAATGTAGAAATCGCTAGTGATATACAGTGCCTCTAGGTTGGAAAAAGTAAAACTTCAAACTGGGTTGTTTAAGGGATTAGCCCTGTAAGCGTTGTTGGGCTAGCTCGTAATAGGTTGGTCTGTCTCTCCTCATTACCCCGCTCGCCATGATGTGTGGTCCAATCGCCTTCTTCAAACAATTGGTCAGAGAAACACATTTTCAACGACAATTCTGACTGCCTAACCTACACAGCCCTTAAAACGAAGTCATGGGGGGCAGTAGTTGGAGATTTGGCTATGTAAATGATGTTTCTATCCTCGGCATAGGGTCGACTCCAAACAAAGCCGCAGCAGCTGTCCAGAGAGAAGTCGATGCAGTCCTAGGATGGGCTGCTGAAAATGCCATCTTTTTCGACCCAGATAAGGCCGAAGTAGTCTACTTCGTCGGCCCCAGATCCAGGGCTCACAATCTTCCGGCTATAAGGGTAAGTACTCGCGATGTACAAGCATCCGACAATATCCGATGGCTCGGAGTACACCTTGATCGCGGTCTGGCCTTCGAAAGCCACATCGCCAAGTGGTCCAGTAAAGCAATGCGTCTAGTGCAACACTTCCGACGACTCACTCATTGTACTCAGTGTACTCAGGGACCAATGCCCGACTTACTAACCACAGTGATTCGCACGGTAGTCCTGCCAATCGCGTTGCACGCAGCGGAATCCTGGTGCCCAGAGCCAACCAGGGAAACATATCAGGGTGTCGCGCGAAATTCATGGAAGAGACAGTGCAAAGTTATTGACCAAACTTCTGCCTTAGGAATTCGCGTGGCTCTACCAGCCTGGCGCACCATGCCCATCGCAGCCCTGAGAAGGGAGACTGGCATTCCACCTGCACATATTCTGCTCGAGGATCGCGGGCTCAAGACTGCCGCGCGAATCCGAAGACTAGATAATTACCATCCGCTTCGACTTCGGACCATGGAAAGCATAGACAGCACTCTGTTGGAAATGGAGACACGGAGTGTTGTGGAAGTACGGGCCCTCCATTTCGTCTAGGTTCCCGACACGATCTCGTGTGTGTTTAAGAGGTTGGAATAGGTTATTTATTTATTTATTTATTTATTTATTTATTTATTTATTTATTTATTTATTTATTTATTTATTTATTTATTTATTTATTTATTTATTTATTTATTTATTTATTTATTTATTTATTTATTTATTTATTTATTTATTTATTTATTTATTTATTTATTTATTTATTTATTTATTTCATCCATTCATTGATCTAGTTTAACGTCCTATGCGGTATCTATATACAGAACCATGAAGACGGTAAGCCGCTTTGGTAAGGGAAAAAGCTTTCAACAAACAAAACCCGATGTCCTGCCACTTTGAACCGACCCAGCTTTATGCTGAGGACGTTCCTTTCAACCATAATTATGTAAACTTTCCGCGAAATTCGTTAACTCCCCCTTCAATCAGACTAACGTTATGAAAAATTAAAAAGAGAAGGCACCTCCTCACTCGGCGTTGGTCTTCGAAGTGTTCGAAGAGTTGGCCCCGATGGTGGTGCTGTTGTGGCGGGGATTGTTAGTGCCACTGGGGCTTCGACTACCTTGCGTGGTCGTCCCGGCCCTCTTTTGAGTATTTCAGCCTTTTTACTGGTGACCAAAGTGAATCCTTGATCATCAGTCGTTTCGACTGTTCGCATTGGCGCCACCGTAGGTTTCTCGTTCCATATTTCTGCCGTTCTCGATAATAGCACCATCCGAGCCTTCTCCACACTACCCTTGTAAACCTGGTAGGTCCGACACGCTGCTTTCTGCCATGAACGATGTTCCTTGCCGCAGTACGCACAAGAAACCCTTTTCCTCGGACAGTCCCGAGTTTGGTGAGCGCCGGCGCACTCACCGCACCTGGCTGCCTTTCCACACGACGCCTGCGTGTGTCCCCATTGGCTGCAGTTGTAACACTGCTTTGGCTGAGCCCGTGGCGACCATACCTGCGCGGTGAAGAGCATGGCGTTAATGACAAGGCCCTGTCGCACTACCTCCGTTTGCATTGCCTCCGATGGGAGGCTGACCACAATTGAACCGCGATTGCGACCGTTTTTCTTCGATCGCTGATGTTCCTTTCCATCATGTAGCCATCGTATTCTGCTAATTACCAGGCCTGGAATACGTGCCTTGGTCGCCGTCTCAATCTCCCTGATGATGGCGTAGTTGTTGGCATCTCTGCCACCCTCAATTCTTGTCCGCAGTGGGACTCCGGAAACCTCAACAGGAAAGTCTTGCCGCAAAATTTTAAAATCCGTTGGTTGTCGCATATTAAGCGCCGCGTCTCTCTGGGACGCCGACTGGACGAACACCTCGGTGTCGTTGCTACGCATCTGTCGAATTGCAAATGCGCCTTCGATGTGTTGTTGTGCCTTTGACAGCAGCTCTTGTGGCTGCAGGTTTTGTGCGCCATCGATTCTTATTCTGACCGCCGTTTTCGCCATTTGTGGAGCTACGACCGACGCGTAGCTCCTTTGTGTCGGCGCGCCCGAAACCACTGCTGGTGCAGCTTTTCGAGCAGGATCCGCGAGGCTCTTTTTGACAACCTCCTCGAGCGCCATCATCCTCTCCTCGATAGGAGACTTCTTCATGGTCATTTCCGTCCAGGCCCTTTTGTGTGCGTTGAAGGCCTTGATGGCCTCGTTCACGTCCTCCATTGAGGGTAGGTCGTCCTCATCCATCTCTCCCATGACGATTAGTCTAACCTGTTTCAATAGTTTCCCCAGGATTTCAAGGTTTCTATCCTTTGGAGCTGTCTGCGCTCCGCTGCCGTTGTTTGATTGTGCCATTGTCGCATTTTGCGACGCGTCGAATCCGCTGGATTTACCCACACCAGCACCCACACCCGCCATGTTGGAGCACGGAAAGCGAAAAGATGAGAGGAGGGTAATAAAGATGTAAAAATGATAATCACGATGTCAAATTGATGATACGGGCAGCGTGGAACGCTGCGCAGCTTTCTGGCAAAAATGATGTTTTTTTTTATTTATTTATTTATTTATTTATTTATTTATTTATTTATTTATTTATTAATTTATTTATTTATTTATTTATTATTATTTATTTATTTATTTATTTATTTATTTATTTATTTATTTATTTATTTATTTATTTATTTATTTATTTATTTATTTATTTATTTATTTATTTATTTATTTATTTATTTATTTATTTATTTATTTATTTATTTATTTATTTATTTATTTATTTATTTATTTATTTATTTATTTATTTATTTATTTATTTATTTATTTATTTATTTATTTATTTATTTATTTATTTATTTATTTATTTATTTATTTATTTATTTATTAATTTGAATTTGAATTTGATTTCATTACCCTGATTTGGCGCCCTATGGGCCCATGCAGGTGGCTATAAACTCTACTTATAGATATTTTACATGAGGGGGAAACCTTCCGATAAAAACCCCCTTCTCCTTCAAATTATTACTGTAGTACTTCGTTAACCTACAGGAAGCGCAATATGCCGTTAGTCCGAGACAGGACTAGCTAAAGTTATAGGTGACCTCGCCATCCTTTCCCAGCCCTCGCGTGCCGAAAAGTGATGACTGTGGTCTTGAGTTCGACCCCGATGGCGCAAATTGGTGTGTAGGTGGGGCTGTGGCCACGGGATTTTTCCGCGGGCGCCCTGGCCCTCTCTTTCCGACCTCTGCCTTCTGGTTGGACACCAGTGTAAACCCTTGGTTGTCTACTTGTTTTTCCGCTGTTGATATTGGAGTGGCCGCTGCTGTTAGTTCCTCCCTTCTTAGGTCTGCCGTTCTTTCCAAAAGTCCATACCGTGCCCTCTGGACACTGACCTTGTAGGACGCGAAGTTTGGACACGCCCCCTTCTGCCACGATTTATGGGCTTTGCCGCAGTTGCAGCAAAGCACCGACTTCCTCGGGCAGTCTCTAGTCTGGTGAGTGCCCGCGCACTCACCACATCTTTTCGTCCTATTGCACGAGGCTTGAGTATGCCCCCATTGACTGCAGTTAAAGCACTGCTTAACTTGAGCCCGGGGTGACCAGAGCTGGGCCGTGTACAGCATTGAATTGAGTACAATGCCGTTTCGTATCACCTCGCGTTGAAGAGCCTCTGTCGGCAGGCTAGCGATCACCGACCCTCGAGTATGGCCATTTTTCCACATCCATTGGTGCTCCTTCCCGTCGTAAAGCCATCTTAATCTGTTAATTTGGATTCCAGGAATCCGAAAATTTGTCTCCGTTTTTATTTGATATATAATTCTGCCGTTGTCGGCATTTTTTCCTCCATGTATCATTGTCCCCAATGGGACTCCCAAAATTTCAACAGGATAATCCTGCTTCAAGACGCAGAACTCCTTTGGCTGAGCCATATTCAGGGCAGCGTCTCGCTGGGAGATCGACTGCACGAACACCTCAGTGTCGTTACTCCGCAACTGCCTTACGGCGTATGCCCCCTCGATATGTGTTTTTGCCTTGTTTAGCAGCTCTACCGGCTGTATCTTGTCTGCTCCTTGTATTCTTATTTATTTATTTATTTATTTTGAATTTGATTTCATTTATTTATTTATTTCATTCATTGATCTAGTTTAACGTCCTATGCGGTATCTATATACAGAACCATGAAGACGGTAAGCCGCTTTGGTAAGGGAAAAAGCTTTCAACAAACAAAACCCGATGTCCTGCCACTTTGAACCGACCCAGCTTTATGCTGAGGACGTTCCTTTCAACCATAATTATGTAAACTTTCCGCGAAATTCGTTAACTCCCCCTTCAATCAGACTAACGTTATGAAAAATTAAAAAGAGAAGGC